GCAATATGGTTCATGGGGTCACGAAGAGTCGGACACGACTTAACGACTAAACAACAAGTCCTTCCTCTCCCATTACCCATGATTAATATACAGCCCTGAGACCCATAAAGATTCCTCTATTTTAGTTAATCATGCAAGATGTCCAGGATGAATAGTCATGAATACTGTAGAAAATTTATTTAATTTGTGTGGTCCCTCTGTACACAGATGGTGTTACTTGGCCTACAGCCAGACGCAAATTTACATGACATTCATATTTTCTTCTAACCATTTGCAGGAAAGAAATTAGAATTATGCTAAAAACTGGTTTTAAAGTTGTCTTATTGTACAATGCCCATTTTTAATATATATATAATTTATATGAAATCTTCAGTAAGAAGGTAAATTTTCATGAGCCATCTGTAGCAGTTCTTTAAACTGGAACTGTAATTTATCCCAAGCTCATTTCTATCTGACAATGGTTAAACAGCAGCTACTTGTAGTTGATTAGCCAAAAATAAAGCCTTTGTGTGATTTTTCCTTCTCCAGTAAGAGTTACATTTTAAATCTGAAGTAATTTGTTCTGACAAAATGTTATTCCAGGGAAAGTAGAGGAAAGTTTTTGACATGGCTAAAGAATGTTGTGCTGGCAAGACAGTTTGGACTGAACTGCTGTCAATCCCATTATCTCCAACATGGTCAATGAGAAGAGATGTGGAAGGTATGGGAAGAATTTTCTGACTTTCTGAAGGGCTACAGGATGCCATTTGGTGATGCTCTGATGTCATCATAGAGGTCATAGCTGAATTTGTTTGGCCCATTTTTGGGTCTTTGGGGGTTTTGACACCAAAATTCAGTAGTGCATTCTTAGGGTGCTATAGGGCCACCAAAGAGATGGTGGAAGGCTTCATGTTTGTCAATAACTAAGTTATTACCCATCTGCTTTCCTTGTCTCAGCTTTCCTTGTTTATGGCCCACATCTAGCTACTTCTGTAGTTTGTTTCTTCATGCACAAAGGAAAAGCCCTTAGAGAACATGGATGACTGATACTGTAATTTTTCTTAAATATGCTTGGGGAACTGTTTTTCACTGCAGTCCTGGCTCTATTATGGTAAAGAATAGCCTGTCTGAACATATTTCTAACATATTTCTAAAACAGTATAGGAGAATTACTACACTAGGACTCAAAAAGAGCAGTATTTTCTACACTAGGACTCAAAAAGAGCACTATTTTTCTAGAAATAGTGGAAATAAAACAAATGTAGCAGTTGCACAATTATCTAACAGACTTTTTAGAAAGAGAGATGCAAGTTGGTTTATGAGTGTAATTTAGGTTTCTGTGAGAAGGAGCCTGTGAAAAAAAGGCAGGAACCAAATAAATTTAAGAAGGCAGAAAACTTGAGTTTTTAAAAATTTGGTTTGGAAATCAAGTGGGGGAGGGAATTCGTGAATGCAAGATAGGCCCCAATCATGATTTGTAAACTTAAGAAATGCAAAGGAAGGAAGGATGAAAGAAAGGAGAAAAAAGTAGATAATCAAGATCTCTAATGAATAATCTGATGTAGTAAAAAAAATCTTCTAGTGTGCTAATGAATTGACAGATTTTAGTAAAAAAAAACATGTCACAAAAGATTGATCTGGACCCAACATCCTTCAATATTTTTATTAATGACTTTGATGACAAGGTGAAGGAAACATGTAGTAAATTTGCAGATTTGGATGGGATACCCTAAAATACTGAGGAGCAGCCATTCTCTACTTTCACCTGTAGCTGGAGATTCCTTACACTTTTCTTACTTCCAGACATCAGAGTGGTATCAT